TCTGTCACCCTCATTACTGATAACAGAGCAGGCAGGTGGTGCCACACATCAGTAACCTAGCACCCTGGGCAGCTGCAGGATGGACTACAAGTTTGAGGCCACCCTGGGCAACCTAGCGAAATTCTTGTCTCAAAACAAAAAATAAAGTACTAGGGATGAGGCTCAGGACAAAAGCCCTGGGTTCAGTACCCAATACTACAAAAACAGGGTAGAGCAGGAAGGCAAAAAACCAAAAGACACCAAAAACAAACAAATGAACAAAGAAACAAAACCTCCCTTTAGGGCCACTGGCATCTTGGCTACTATTCAGCTACACTACTTGCTGGGATCTTCTTTTCTAACGGAAATCTCAAGTTCTAGTTTTGTTTTGTTTTTTTTTTTTTTGTATTTAGTACAGGGTCTCACTGCACAGATGAGACTCATAGTGATCCTCCTGTTTTAAGCCTCCCAAGCACTGGGATTACAGGCTTACAGGAGTATGCCACCATAACCTGTCTCAATCGCTGTCTCAGCTCACCCTAGGGGTGGAGCCGGCATGGCACGCTGGGGATTGAACCCTGGCCGCTGCAGCCTAAGCAGGTGCTTTAATCTGCTGAGCTATCTGGCCAGCCCTCTCAGGTTCTAGTTTGAGGACAGCATGCCAATGCCAGTGTTTGCTAGCATCGTGCTCCTCGCCCACCTCACTGCCTCCAAGGCCAAGGCCAAATACATCCCCAATGTCACTGCTGAACAGAATGTAGGCAGGAGTCCTCAGGCTCACTTGTACAAGGCAATAAAGGCTGGGTGGGGGCAGAGGGGCCTCGCCCAGGGTCACACAGACCACAGGGACCAACCCAGACTCAAGCCTTTCCTCCTCCCAGCTGACTTCAGAATGATTAACTGCAAAGGGGAAATGTGTGCTTGCTGAGACAGAACCTTATTGTGTCGCCCTGGAGAATCTCGGAAGTCCTGAGCTCAAGGGATTCTGCTACTTCTGTCTCCCAAGGGCTGTGACTCAGGTGCCCAGCGTGGCATGTGGGTATTCCTAAAACCTCTGATTACAGGAGTTACTTACAGACTCTACCAGTTAAGAGTGAACAAGTCACAGGAACAGAGGAGCCCTGCCACAAGCAGGCTTTGTCTGCAGCCCCCTGCTATAGGCAGGGTTGGGCCAAAAGTCCGGAATGAGTGCACCAGCACGAAGCTTGATTAAAATTGTGGGTGTCAGTCACATTGAACAGAAAAAGTCCCACATTATTTAAAACACACCCACACCAGCCTCTATCGTGTGCCTATGAAGCTGCTCCCAAAATCTAATTTCACAATCCACAGAGACCCATTCACTTGAGGAAACCGACTTGCGCCTCGTCAATCAGTGGAACTCAGCACCAACTTTCAGATTTATTATTTAAATGCCACTGTGTAGTAAGTTACAGCAACTGGGGAGACAGGAGTAGGGCGATGGAGCTGTGGGGTCACAGGGTAGCCACAGGACACAGACTTCTCATTGTGCCCAAAAGATTCTTAACCGGCTTAGGAAAAAAATCAGTCCTCTTCCACCAAAACTGAAGTATTAGTTCTAGAGAGGAGTGAAAATTACTAAACTCTAACTGCCCCATCAGAATAACTGCCCCATCAGAATATCTACACCAGTAACCCTCAGAATACACAAATCGTTAACCTTTCCCTGGCTGGCTGCATCAGGTCCAGGTACAGCCTCCTGGCTTCCTCACTCTCCCAGCTCTCCCACCCACCCGCTGCTGATGGGCCTGGCCGGCATCTGCAAGTCACAGGAGGTTCCTGCAGGACCAGACTTTGTGGAGAAAGTAAACAAGAGGCGAATACCACCAGGATTTGGAAGGCTCTTTAATAGCAAGCGGATGGTAATTACAGCGTTGGATGAGCTCCTGTCTCCCGGGGAGGGAGGAGGGAACAGATGGGGACGGGGTGCAGGAGGGGATTTACAGAGTTCGGGCTCTAACAAAGGGTGACAGTTTTTGGCAACCCATTTCACAGTTTTCTAATTTACAAGAGATTTGTTTTAAAGGAAATACGAAAGCAAAGAAAGAACACACATCCTACAGGAAACACTTCTTGCCTAAAACAACAACATCATCAACAACAAAGCAAAAAACAAATCAAAACCCCATTCTTTCCTTTCTCCTGTGGATGGCTACACTTTGCCTTTTGTTCACAGATCAGGACCAGATCACAGATCACGTCAGAGGTGTCTCTCACTGAAGATCTACTTCCTCCTCTAAGAAGCTGACATCTGGTGTGCAGAGTGCCACTCTGCATCTGTACAGTACCTGGTGAAAAAATCAATCTTGAAAAACAAAAAACAAAACAAAACACCCAGGGAAAGGCAGTTCACCAAGAACAGTCTGCCAACGTCCACTAGTGCCACAAACTTGAACTTAGTTCTAAGCAAACTAAATGTTTATTTTTATGTGGCCTGAGACGTACCTTCAACTGCTTATGCCTTTGTAACATGAAATACAGACCACAGGCTGTAGGCATTCTGGCAAGCTTTAGTAGAATTACTCCATATAAGATTAAAAAGACCTCAGCTTGTTGTGTCCTACGTGTTTTTGGAAGGCCAAGATAACTGAGTGGGTCCTTATGAAAAAGGATTATTTTTTATTAATTTTTTTAAAATTTGCCTATTTTTTGGGGAATCAAACTCAGGACCTTGCCAGGCAGGCCCTTAGGCTACTGAACTGGTACCTCCCAGGTGGTGATTATTTTTTAATGAAAAACAAAAATGTAGGCTTCTTTAAAGAGGAAGCATCCAGCAACAGCATCTCTTTAGAGCTGCCCCCACCCCCAGCACAGGATCAGCCCTCAGCTGGAGTGTCCCTGCACTCCCTCTGCAGCCACGAAGTAGGCGGGGAAGGCAGGCTGCCCTGCACTTCCACCACGGCCCCTCCTGGTCCCTCCTGGATTTGCCGGTTCTCCAGTGAGACAGGCTCCTCGGGCTGGGGCTGCGTTCCCTAAAGAAAGGAGTCTCGCTACATGTGCAAGAAACATGCTGCATCGGCCTGCTGGGAGTCTTTTCAAATCCACACACCCATCCCTGCATCTTCTCAACACCCAGTCTCTGAAGAAAGACAGCCCCCAGGGAAAGCCAAGAAAGGCTTTCCTATGCCTCAGGTGGTGATTGATGACTGGTTTTTGTTTTTCACAAGTCAGACCTGACTGCAAGACTTAAAACCTTTCCCTGCCCCACTTCATCTCCTCACACCCCAACGAAATCCTGCCTTTTCTGACATCCCCTCACTATGGGAAATCAGATTTGTGCCAGTTTTTCAGCCTATTAATTTTAACATGCAGAGCAGGTTCCTAAAATATAAATGGCAGCGACACTCTGGGGTCACAGCTCCCCCAGGACCAAACACTTTGTGCTCTTATGAAACAGAAACAACATTCAGAGACGTGTACTGTGCTAGAGAACAGTTTCTACTTATACACAAACAATGCCGGCCACTAATACAGGAGAGCGGTTTCCACTTAAGTATACGAGAAACCAATTCTGGCACCAGGACACAAGAAGACTCGCCCTACATAATGGACTTTCTGTGTTCGGGCCATGGAAAAATAAAACGGAGCATGTGTTGCTGTGGGCCTGGACGATCTGCACGGAGACTCTGTGCAGCGGACCCACGGCGGCACCAGGCACCACACGGGGCTTTGCCTCCCTCCCGGCTCTGAAATTCACCGATTCCCTGAAGCCTGCATGACACAATCACTGGGCACAGTGAAAGAGCCAGACCACAAAAGCAGCGCCACGGCTCCCTCACACCCAGGACCAAGGCTCTGTAGTGTGGCCACGAGCAAGAGTTAAGGTTTCGCAGGTGGCCGCGTCATTAGAACACCCTCCGTCACACCACATTCTCCCTCAGGCCTGTGCACACTCACCCATTCGCTGATGTGACTTTCACTGTCACTTTCCATCTTCTGAATGACAGGGCAAAGAAGTCCACGTACTTATCTTCTACACTCTGCCAGCTAGGCTCATGCATAGTTCCCCCACCCCAGTCAAACATTTACCATACTCAAAGCCCCTAGGGTCAGGACAGCAGGGCACCCAGAGAAGCTCCACCTTCTGCAAATGGAGCAGGGATGGCGAAGACAAGCACATCGTCTGGGACCTCGCTTTACCTTCTCCTCAGAGGGACAGAATCTTATTAACTGCACTAATGGGCGCAGTCCAGGCTCTGGGGCTGAATGCTCACAGGCCAACATAGTCTAAGGAGTCTGGTGGCCATCTTCCTACAGACAGCATCTTTGGTGAGGTTCCAAACACATTTCCTTCTCCTGGCCCTGACTGTCCTTGACTGTCATTCCTACACACACATACTTCCCCAGGTAGGCGTAAAAGCAGTATTTAAAGCTGGAAGAGCAAAGAGCCCTGACACAGAGGCTAGTTAAATGATCTCTCAGTCAGAGAGGCAATGGCAGAGGCCAGGCTCGGACCCAGCTGCTCTTATACCATCGCTGCCTCCTGGTAAGTGACTGTGTGGGACCTCTGAGAAAGGTCATGAACTTGTCTCAGCTCAGGAACAGTTTCTGAAACAATCCACAGGCTGCCAACCTCACACCTCATGAGCTGGTCTTGCTTCACAGCTCCATGAAAAATAGCCACAGTGTGGCAGAGAGAGAGTGGGAGAGGAAGGGAGACAGGGAGGGAGGGAGACAGGGAGAAGGAGAGAG